TCAATGCCAAGAAAATATTTTAAAGGGCCAAGATCTTTCATATGAAAGCATGTGCTCAAGTAGGATTTGAATGACTCAATTGCTTTGTTGTTGTTTCCCGAAATGATAAGGTCATCCACGTAAACTAACACATACAACTCTACACAGTTACGATGTAGAGTAAAAAGAGAGTAATCAGAGTAGGACTGTGTGAAACCATACCGTTGAAGTGCGTTTTTTAGTTTGGCAAACCAACACCGAGGTGCCTGTTTCAAGCCGTATAGAGATTTCCGCAAGCGACATACCTGATTTGGAGTAGATGTCTTGAAACCGGGGGGTAATTTCATATACACTTCTTCGTCAAGCTCACCATGTAAAAAAGCGTTATGAACGTCCATTTGATGAAGTTCCTAATGTTTTGCAGCAGCAACAGCGAGAAACGTTCTCACAGTTACCATTTTCACAACTGGAGCAAAGGTTTCATGATAATTCAACCCCTCAACTTGGTTGTTCCCCATAATAACGAGTCTTGCCTTATAGCGTTCAATAGTTCCATCTGAGTGATATTTAATTCGATACACCCATTTACTGCCGATAGCCTTTTTGTTTGGAGGAAGTGTTTCTACTGTCCAAGTCCCATTATTTTCAAGAGCCTCAATTTCAAGCTGCATGGCATTTCGCCATCGGATATCTTTGACAGCTTCAGCAAAGCTTTGTGGTTCTATGGCTGCAGAAACAGCGGCTAAAAAATGCCTGTGCTGTGGTGAAAAGTTAGCATAATTCACATATTCGGATAAGGGATAGGGTGTACCTGAAGGACGTGACAGAGCGATGGAACAGTTTGAGGGGCATATCTTAGAGATGGTATTGGTCACAAAGTTTTGCAGCTTGGTAGAAGGAATCTTGACACGACGGCCACGTCCCAAATTTTCGACTGTATCAGTAGTAGGCGGTTCTTCATTGATTTCAACAGCTGGTGGTATGTCATGAGACTTAGGTGAAGAGGATTCAATATGAGATACAATTGGAACAGTTGGTGAATTGCCATTTGATTCATCATGATCATGTAACCTTGTAGTTTCAATTGCTGGAGCTGAAAGGACAGCAGGTATAGTAATAACATGCTAAAGGGGATCATCTTCAACAATATTTTTATTGAAAGAGACATCGGGCAAGGTGTGGTCATCTTTACATGCAAGCTGGTGCGGTATAATTTCTGCAGCAAACGGAAATTTATCTTCATAGAAAACCACATCTCTCGAGTTAAAGAAAACACCCAGCTCCAAGTCATACATACGCCATCCCTTGGTGCCATAAGGATATCCAACAAATGCACACTTGCGACTTCGACTAGCGAATTTGTCACCCTTATGATGTTGATTATGTGCATAAGCTAGGCAGCCAATGACACGAAGATGCTCAAGAGAAGGAGGCTTACCTTACAAGAGTTCAAATGGAGTTTTACCATCTAAATTTCGTGTAGGAGTTCGATTAATCAAGTAACATGCAGCAAGAGCACATTCCCCCCAAAATTCAATTGGAAATTGGGCTTGAAAGCGCAAAGCACGAGCAACATTAAGAATGTGTCTATGCTTACGTTCTACTCTTCCATTTTGCTGTGGTGTTCCAACACATGAAGTTTCATGAATAATACCACGATCACGAAAAGTTGGTTTCATACAAGTGAATCCAGTTCCATTATCGCTTCGAATTATCTTTACATGTGTACTAAATTGTCGTTCAACCATTGCTAAAAATTGATAAAGATATCTAGAGACTTCAGTTTTATCAACAAGAAGATAAATCCACACTGCTCTCGAGAAATCGTCAACAATAGTTAAAAAATATCTAGCACCGCAAAGAGTATCATTTCGATAAGGCCCCCATAAATCACAATGAATTAAATGAAAACGAGTGGCTGCTTTATTTTCACTAATAGGAAAATTGGCTCGTGACTGTTTTGCTCTAAGGCATATGTCACAAGTCTGAATATATAAATTATTTTTGCTACTGGGGCTAACATTTGGAAGCGTTTGCAGAACTTTCAAAGATGCATGTCCTAGTCTTTGATGCAACAAATCCAAAGAAACCTCTTTATTAGTCTTCATTGCAGCCGCCTTGACAATCCCTCTAAGATAGTATAGCCCCTCTCTTTGTTCACCCGCTCCAATCGGCGTCCTCAAAGTGGGGTCATGTAGAAGACATGACTTGTCAGTAAATAGGACAGTGTAATTAGAATTTTTCAGTAGTTGTGACACTGAAATAAGATTGCATTGCAAACTAGGCACATATAGGACATTTTTTAGTTGCAGCCTTTCATTGAGCACCACATTTCCTTCTTTGGTGGCCACTGTCTCTTCACCATTTGGGAGTCCAATAGAGCACTCAAAGATGTTGTGTATATTGGTTAGGCAGTCCAATTGACCAGTCATATGGTGTGAAACACCTGTATCAATAATCCATGGCAAGAAGGAACACTTACCATTGAGCTTCTCAGTTGAACTTAGTTTGACATTGTTTAAAAGGCTAGCTAGTGTTTGCAATTGATCACTAGTAAGGCCGAAATCAGCCTCTGGAACTTCAGTAGTGATCTCTTTTGTTGTCGCTTTTGCTTGTGCTATGTGAGCCTTAGCGGTACCTCCTCGATTTCTGTTATTAGATCGTTCTGGTTTCCCGCGTCCAGACCCCTTCATTGGTCCACGTGGTCGATCTCCCCACCATTCAGGATATCCTATGAGTTGAAAGCAACCTTCTGAATCATGCCCAGTTTGATTGCAGTGATTGCATAATCTTCCTTTCTCCTTGTGTTTGAAGTTTGAGTGTACTGCAAATGCCATTGCTTCACCACGTTCTTCTGTCACACGAGTTATTGTGCGTAGTCGTTCCTCTTGCACCAGTGTTGCGTACACTTTGTTTAGTGTAGGTAGAGGATCCTGGGCAAGAAGATTAGATCGGACTGTCCCGTAGAGAGTATCATCCAATCCCATGAGAAATTGGTGAACTTTCTCCTCCTCATGTTTCTTTGTAATTTTATTGCTGATATTGCACGTACACAGTCCGCACTTGCATGTCAGAATCTGATCATAGTTCACTAATTCTTCCCACAATTTTTTCAGTTTGCCATAGTATGTCACAATGGTCAAACCTTTCTGCTTGCATTCAACTAGTTAAGCTTTGAGCTGTTGAATACGTGGTCCATTCACAATGGAAAACCGCTCCTGGATGTCGTTCCAAAGATCCATAGCTACCTCCATGTGTGACATAGTCGATCGCAGCGAAGGTTCAATGGTATTCATGATCCAAGACACCAATAATGAGTTGTTTGTCCACCAATCTTCAAGATCTGAAGATCCGTCGTCGGGTTTGCCAATTGTTCCATCGACAAAACCGAATTTCTTTCGTGCTCGAAGAGCTGTTCTGAGTGAACGAGCCCATTCATCATAGTTTTCTCCCTTTAATTGCACATGAGTTATCAAACTTCCAGGATTGTCGTTGGAAGTGATATCATAAGGGGAGATGGTTTTTCTGATGACAACTCCATCGCCATTGTTGACTGTCTTTATGCTTTTGTTGTTTGCTGAAGCTGCAGAGTCTTCGGTATCCGACATGATTCAAACTAGCTTTGTTTCTATTATGTATTGCGGCTCTGATACCATAACAAATATTAGTTTGTAATGGAATACTTTTCATTGATTCTTGATCTGATATATATACAAGTATAGGGTTGAATACAATATCTAATCATTCTAAATATAGTTGCCTAATATTAAATCATTTCCATATAAACTGAGGTTAAGAATAGTAAAATGAAGATATGTGCAGCTAATATCATAATGTGCTGTTATGACATTATCTTCCCATAATGTGCTGTTATGACAGCATCTTCATGATATTATTTTGGCAAGATATCAGTTGTCTAAGAAATTATAAATATTTTTGAAACTTTGCATGATGTCTAAGAATCATAAAAGATGCAATAAGAAATGACCCTAATGAAACTCAATGTTAATTGATTTAGGCAACGGATTTTTAAAATTATCGTCACGGATTTGTTTACCCAAACTAACCATAATTAATTTCTATGATTTATATTATAAAAACTAGTATAATATATTTTACTTCAAAAATAAAAAATGAAGGTGAATACTCCAATACTTTGAAATTTAGTTGGTACCGGTATCCTCGTCCAATAAAAAAATCATATTCAATGTCATATTGTTTTTTATATATATTATTTAAAAATGCATTAATTTTTTTATTTAATTTACACTAAAAGTACCCGTACCCAACTACTTATTATTATGAATACTTAAGAATTTGCCAAAAATAAAACACTACTTATAATATTCACAATTTATGACAGAAAAAAATTAAAAATTTTATATTATTATAGAAAATTAATTAACGTGAATTACATATTTTTAAAAAATATTTTTGCATATTTAATTCTAACATATCCAATCAATCTAATCCAAACTAACCCCTTATTTTTCAATTTCATTCAGTTTGAATTTTATTACAAAAATGTGCAAATCCAAATTCATACCAATACATATATTTTTTCTGTTTGAGAATCAGATTGTTTCAAAACATTTCAAAACCGAAACAAACATCCCCACCTGAATCTACACAGAAAGTGACCTTTTGAAATTTCATTTTTGTTTAAACTTAATAGCTAATAGTAAGCATGTTACAGTACTTTTAGATAGATATTTAGATTGTAAAACAAGCATACTCAAAATCCTATGCACCAAGATGAAAAAAATAACATCCTTGGAAAAGATAAAATAATAAAAAATATATATGGCATCTGTTGCCAAAAATAACTATTATTTGAGCTATACTTCATCCCAAGATGGGATTTACAGACAACACTCTGCCTTAGAATATCACATTACATCCTACATAACCAGATTTGCATGCTTCAAAAATATTTAAACTGGTAACACAATGTCACGTTAGAAATAAAGATACAAATTTGATTCCACAACAGACAACCGAGTAAGTTGATTCCACTGCTATTAATTCAATTGGGTGAGAGGAGAACGTGGAATAAGTGACGGTTTCAACTCCTTTACATCAGAAGAAGATTCATATGAATTACTTTCCCGGAATTCATCCAAAAGAGTTTCGATTGGCAAGGTTCGAAGAGAGTCAATTGTACCCTTACTCGGAACCTCTGGCTCACATCTTATAGGTGTTGTACCACTAGGCTCATAGTCCTGCACAAGACATCAACGAAACAAATTTCATGTTAAACATTCCTGTAATCCTGTTTAATAATATTGATTATTTTAACATCAGACTTTAAAATAGCCTACCCTATACTCTTGCTGGAAAGTTTCACATGCTTTGTGTTCTATGGAAGCTGCTTGCCCAGCATGATTCTCTCTGAACATCTCAAGTGTATTTGCATGGCTTTTCACCACACTTACCACACTACATACAGACTCACGCTCTTCTGCAGACGTGGCTGGAAAATATACCCCAAGAAAAAGGATTACAGGAATGCAAAATACATATAGCAACACTTCAATTAAAAAGGGAGGAATGGTAGTGACATTCACTTCATAAATGTTATTTATAAAATATAATGTTGTATATATATACCACATTATAATGCAATACTAACCGTCAAACTGCTCGAGAAGATCATCACTGTTCTTTGCCACATCTTCCTCAGCTGCTGCTCGTGCAGAATTGACCTCAGCAACATGTTGCTCGCTGCTATCACGAGCATTCCTGCGCCAAAGTAATTGATATAACAATATAATACAATTCATTATAACAATATAGTACAATTCATTATAACAATCATATTGCACACCTGATAAGTGACTCTGTCGCTTGAATATGTTTGGTCCCTAAATCATTTACACCCTCATGTGTCCTCTTAACTTGTTCCAAAGCTGAATGAGCAGTGTTAACACTACAGGGATTAAAAAGGATTATTAGAATGTGAACAAGAGCATGAAGACCAAGAAAACTACATGACATAACACATACCTTTGCTGCAGGAGTACCTCCATGCGACAATGCTTAGCCGCAGAATAATCAGCAGTATCTTTTGCTTCTTTTTCTGCTTGTACACAAAAGGACTGCCATTTCCTTTTAGCATTAGTTGCAATATCACCCACAGATGACACATGTCCATCAAGGAATGACTTGTTCTTAACACCACTTTCTCTAAAATCAACAAGCTTTGAATCTACCTGTGAGACCAACCATTAGATGACAATCATTAAACTGATAAAAAAGACAGATTTCAACCAGCTCACAAGCATTACCCATTCAGGCCCATAAAAATTAATAAACAAGGAAAGTGCCAAAAACTGACAAGATCGATTTGACACCAAATGTGATAAAATGAAATAATAAACAAGAAAAGAAGGTCAAAAACTGACAAGATTGATTTGACGCCGAATGAGATCAGAAACCAAACTAGTCATATCAGCGATGAGTTTCTCCGACTCAAATTTTGATTGCTCCTGCACAGAATAGAATAAAATGTCGATATTAGATGATAGCAACCATAATTATCTTCCAAACCACACTTGTTAATATAACATTAATACCTCGTAAACTTTTTTAAACTCATCAATGCTTTCTGTTTGCATTTTGTCAGTCTGTGCTACAAAATTTTCAAGCTTTTTTGATTCTTCAAAAAGCTTTTCCACTAATTCTTCAGATCGCTCAGATATCTCCTTTATCTGTTCCACACTGAGATTGAATCTCTTTCATTCACAATAGACACAACAAAAACAAGAAAAGTAAAGAGTGTCAGTCAAAACAAATAAGAATGAATTAAAGGGAATTATACAAAATGGGAAAACGATTAACACAGGAAAACTTCAAGCACATACATTGCGTACTTCCCTAGCAAAAAGTGTCAATTCACCCTGTTGTGTTGAAAGACAGCTCTGAAGCTCATCAAATATTGAGCCAGCTTCCGTGACCGCAGTTGTAAGGAACTGATTCATCAGAAATAAATAACTTTCTTAGTATTGAAAAGAATGAAACTGAACAAAATAATTAGTAGTAAAAAGATTTAGAGTTGTTGTAGCATACTTCTTCAATTGAATGACCATGGGAAGATATGGCAGATGACAACTCCTCCAAGGATGCATCTGAGCCTGACTTATGCAAACGCACAACATTTTGCACTGCCTCAATATGAGACACGTACACTGCCCTCAAGTCTTTCACTTTCTCTTTCAAATCAATAACCGCCTACAGGCAAAATAAAGGGGGCTGAGAATTCAAAGTTAAAGATAAAGCGACAAATGTAAACCATGAGCTGGGATACCAAACAAAAAGCTCAAGTGAATCAAACAAGTACAAAAAAAAAACATTTAAGAGTGTCAACAACAAGAACAACTGCTTTGGATATGTGATGTGCGCACCTTATCATGAATGCCCAAAAAGGAACAACAGAGCTTCTCCACGCCTTGTAGATGTCCATTCTGTTCAGACAACGATTTTGCAACAGTGTTGGAAAGAGAACCAACCTGCTGGGCAAGTTCCGCTTGAAAATTGTTTACAACTGTTCTATTGTCTGTGTTCAGTTTATCTTCTCTACCTATACAATTACCGGAGACATATAAGAATAAATTATGAAATAATGGATACATTCTAGATTCTTAATCATCAAGACAAAAAAGAGACACCACCTACCAATTTTCAGAAATAGTGAAGCATTATCCTGAAGAGCTTTCTCTAAATCTGCTCGTAATACACAAGCCTGATGCGCTAGAGCATTTTCTGTAATGAATAGTTAACATTAACTTAGAGGAATATTACAGATTTAACATTACCCCACACAAAGGAAAGTTACAGTAGAAACAATAATAGAAACACAATCCTTAATACCTGCTTTCCTATGTTTAGATATGATGAATTCATTTTCCTTCAGGGTATGATGACACTTTCTTAATTCGTCCTCTCTATTGGCAAGCAACTTGCTTGTCTTGTTCAAGTTTTTCTGTATGATTCAGAATATTTCCCCTATAAGCAATTATGTAGAGCTTAACTTAATGACAGTCCAGAAGAAAAAAAAAACAATGATATCTGACCTCAGTGGTATCAAGCTTGTTGCTTAAATCAGAGCAGTGACGAACTTGGCCATCGTATTTGTTTCTCATATCCTCAAGTTGCTGGTTGAAACAAAAAAGAGTCAAGTATAAAAGAGACAACAGACAGGTCCTTGTCATCTAATATAAGACTATAGATAGACTATAGTTTTTTTTTAGAAAGACAAACCTTCTGATATGATTCTATTGTGATGCCCATCTGCTCAATCTGATCTCCCATAGCCTTAACAGAAGAAAAAAGTGCATCAACATAAGGGACTTAGAGTAGTGGTTTAATGACCAGATCATGCAAATTAAACATAAACTAAATTTATCTACCCATGAACCGGAAGTTTAAAAAAAGGATAAACAAGGTAGAAACAAGAAATGTTTCACAAATAAAAAACGTCAATAATTTCAGCATGTAATGATTACATGAAACAAAATTGTTGGTCTTGGTGAATTTGTTGAAATAATCATATTGCGAACACTGGAAAATTTTCAAACAAACCAAGACATAAGACTACCTTCTTTTCAATCTCTTCTTGATAGTATCTATCCTTTGGAATATAGACCCCATTTTTCTCGCGGGTAGCATAAACCTCTGATCAAAGTCGCAAATTTAAACATCAATACGGTAGTGTGGCTAGACATCTAAGGATTCACAGTAATTTTTACTTTATAACAACAAAATAACAAAGCAACTAACCTGACTTAAGGCGTTCAATTTCACCATAAAGATCCTTTATAAGTGTCGATTTCATCATTTTTTGGTTGATCTAAAACAAAAAATATATATAAAAGCAGGTGAAAAGCAATGACATGGGCATGACAATGAACCATATCACAACAATACTAAAAACATCTGCACATCTTATTCTAAAATGAAATATTAAATTGGAGCTAGCTTGTTGATAACCAGTCTATTAAAAACATAATGGCCCTTGAAGCACTCAGCATGTCCCGGCACAATTGAGTGTAATTCATTGGAAGAACTAATATTCTGGGGATTTCGGCAGCAAAAATAAATACAATTCATCCCAATAATGAACCAATTAGAGAAATCAACTCACTTCATCTGGTTTCTCATTTAAATTTTTGACAGTTATTCATTTCAACAAAATATTGGGAGGCTTTAGTACTAAAGTAACTCAATCCGCAACAAACCTCTGGCTTATTTTTAATATTCTTTGCCCTGTGTGCATAATCCAATGTGCTCAAAGTTTCTTCTAAGCAATGAACAGCAGGGGATACTGTAGCAATGATGCATGTCTTAGTTCTACCTCCAAGTGAATCACGAAGTAAGCGAGTCAACTTACTATCCCTAAACATCAACATATATCCATGTAAGCATACAACGAAAAGGATAATGTCAAAGAACCATTGAATGAAGCATTATCAGGAGTCCAAAATTTAAAACCTGTAAGGAATATGACCAAGGTGCTCCACAAGTGCGTTAATCACTCGCCCTAAAGTGAGCAAACTTTTATTAATTTCTCCAGCTTCTCTTGCACGACCCTAATAAATATTATAAAGCTCAAATTATCAAGTGAAAAAAAAAATTACTATGAAACCCCCATGATGTATAGTTTAAATGACTAAACAACTACTATATGCTCCTAATGAATTACCTCCCTAGCACCAGACCGAGATATATTTTCAGAGCCAGCAAGATCTACTAAATTCAGTTTACCACACTTAATTAGCTCTTCGCCTTCAGGGGTTGCTTCTTTGATGTGGATTGTAATTGAAAACAATGAATGCGAACGACTGAGTAGCAAAATTATGTGTTAATAACGTAAGTTTGAATATATATGATTTTGCAATCTGACAACTAAAGAAACAGTCACCTAGATTGCTTGTTTAACAAAGTTTCTGCAGTGCGCCTTTTGGAAGACCCTCTCTCGAGAAGAGTATAAATCTCACTCGCACACGTCACTATTTCTTCCTCCAACCCTCTTACAAGAACCCCGCCTTTGCCATCCTCCATCAGAGGAAGCTGCTTTTTTTGCTTCTCCTCTAAACTAACCTTTGAAAGCTCCTCCGGGGCAAGCAAATCAGTAATCTCCTCATTATACAATTCTAAAAAGGTTACTTTAACGCTATACTCAGCATTCTGGCCCTCAAGTGTGTCAAAAATCTGCTTAACAGCCCTAGGAATCACTCCTGCCTCTGGAGGCAACTCTCCATTGGGTCCACTCTGCAGTAAAAATGGTCAAATCAAGTCATTAACATGACTTAATGCTGTCATTCATTAATTAATTAACAACACTTCGATATTGTTTTTCCAGTACCATAGAGCAAAATCATACCTTGGATCTTTTGCATTCCCCTTCCATAGTAAATGTTTTTCCGGTACCAGTTTGCCCATAAGCAAATATAGTACAATTAAATCCCTCTAAAACTTCATGCACTATGGGAGTAACAGCTTGTTCATATAGTTCCCTTTGTTGTGCAGAAGGTCCAAACACCTAAACAAAAACTCAACAATTAATCTTAATAACACTAACTCATCATTTTAATATCAATAACTTAATTAATTTCTCAAAAAAAACCTAATTCATTTCTGTTACTTCAAGCTTAGCAAATATAACCTGATGAACCTAAAAAATATCGATACTCAAAAAAACGAAAAAATTAAAATAATAAGCTAGTTTTAACACAAATAAAAAGGTTTAGGGTTTAGAAATGAAGAACCTTATCGAAGGTGAAAACCCTATCAATGTGCTTTCCGGCGATATTCTGAGACACTGCAACTTCTCTACTGTAATCATTGCAAGTGACTACTTGCGGTGCATTGGTGCGTAACTCTTCATCACTAAACGGCCTATAAAGTATCAAAAAAGCTATAGTTAGAGTTTGAAATTCGGAAGAAAAACATTCGAAAAATTAATAGGAAAAAAAAAGGATTGAAATGGAAATACCTGCATCTGAGAAGAACTTGAACGTTTACGCCTTTCTCTTTACCGGACATTTTTGGTGATTTTCGGTGTGCGGTGGTGGTGGTAGATCTGGAAATTCGAATTTGCGGTGTTTTTTTTTTGTTGTGTGTGAAAGGGTGTGGAAATGAGAGCGGGGTAGGGGTTGTAGCGTTTGAGATTTGAATTTTGAAAGACGCTCTTCTTTTTTTGCCCTTTCTGATTGAGAGATCTACGATACGACTCGCGTTTTGGATTTTATAATCTAACGGTACTCCGAGTATTTTGTTTGCCTTGACGATTTTGCCATTGTCGTTTTGGGTTTTTTGTGGGTTTTTGAAGTGTGAATTGGAACTTTATTAGGGGTGGGAATAGATGGGAGTCCAGTTCGACTTTACTTTTGGCTTAGTTAAATTAAAAATAATTAATAGGCCAATAAATAATCAAACTTATGTGTTAAAAAAATGTAATTATTTTATATAAATAATGAGACTAATTACTTTATATTGTAAGTTCATCATCATCCATTGGTATTATTTTATTAATAATTAAAATAAAAGTCAAATTTTTTCTAATATCCATCGGTTATAAATAACTGACAATATAAAATCATTTTATACTGTCTGAATTTCAATTAAATCCACAAATAATCTTAATAAACTTTTTAAAGAGTATAAATATTGGAGAAAAATGAATATGCACTAATAGTATAAAATATTTTTACATTGTAAATCAATCCATTAATTTACAATGAAAAATATGTATTTTGTCAATTCACGTTTTTATTTTTAAAATATTGATATGGCATGGCAAATTTTATGAAATTTAATTGGTTATAATTGTACGTGTAATATTGTTTTACACTGTCTATTCAGTATTTTTAAATTTTAAATATAGTTGGTTTAAATTTTGTTAAAAGAGTATAAACCTAACTTTTTTTAATAAGTTAGTCAAATTGAATTGTGCTTTAATAAGGCATGTCATAGTCTCCTGTTGCACGGTCTAAAACTATAATTGTTTTCAAACTCGCTATCACATAAGCTTTTTAAGACGTTGGATAAGTTAAAAAGAGAGCATAAATGTGTCTGTTTATGGGGGAGATAGTTGTAGGCAAAAATGAAGACTGCAAAGTGTCTCTTTATAATGATTGAGATTCGAACGGGTAATGAAATGGTAATGGAAAAGACAATAAAATGAAAGATTTTGCAAAATTCACTCCATTAACAAAGAGACCTATAGACCTAGAAAGATCTTATAATGTGTATATGACTTCAATGTTTTCAAGTTGCCTTGACCAAGAGAGTCAAAGCTTGACGTATAGAAAAAGATATATTGTGATTACCACATGATACACGACCATTGGCCTCTCTAAGGATGATTGCCAAGGATTGAAAACACAATTTGAGTAATTGATTTGATAAAGGTAATTTACCAAAGTACGTGAAAAAAAGTTGACTTAGAGATTTAGACAAGTCTCTGTCCCAGAGGAATGGCTCCAAATTGCTTGAACCTCTAAGGAAGTCAATGAGTCAAAAAAGAAGACATGAAAAATATGATATGAGATGTAGAAGGTTAACACCACAACTTACAGAGTTAAGCATTAGATTAAGATGATTGCAGAAGGGTGACATTTGTGGTGCTAAAAAACACATTTGAGATGCACAATCAACATGTGCCTTGACACAATTTAGGAATGTCATACCACTAATCATACTTTTGGAAAAGGAATACAGAGGAATAGAAAGGTGAAAAAAACAATATAAGGGTTTTCTCGATGGGAATACTGAATCGTAGTGTGAATAGAAGTCTAACTAATCAAGGCAGTTCATGTAATATCATACTCAATGAAAATTATAATAAGTTATGTTTACTTGAGTTAATTCTCAAGCCTTACAAGTGTATGTTCATGGAATTCTCATGAGATAGCATATATAAGTTAGGGTTTATAAAAGTATGTATTACTTTTACAATAGATGTTGGGTCAAAGTCATTATAAACAAAGTTCTTAGTGGTCGAAGGCACGTCATCATACAACCTCATCATCAGGTGACTCCTACACAACACACTTGGGTTCATTATGCCAATATCTCACTTTGGAATGAAGTTCCTTCTATAGAAGGGTAAAATTGCCACGATGCACGTAAAATATCATGTAGCTAGACAGTGTAACGTCAACAATTCTGTTGGCTCCTAATTTCGATGTTTGATTGAAATTAAAAGTAACAAATAGAGTTCTTGAAGAAATTTAATTACTTCAACTGGAGCCATGCTTTGAAATGGGAGTCGAAGGCGTCCTTTCGCCAAGAGAATATATGTTATGAACTTAGAGATATTCCTCATCAGTTGGAAGACTCGATTCGACTGAAGCGTTGCTAAGGGTATTTCGACGAGTTTGTTTGAATTCAAATAAAAGAGGGAAAGTCTGTTTTTAAGAAAGACATGTGGAGCGCCCCTATGATTCGAAGGCATGCAGAAGCGACGCTTGTCTTGATTTCGTTTGTTAGCCATTAATGGCAGTTATGTTTGATTATTATAAATAGCAGGTCTTAGTGTTAAGATGTGTGTGTTCAATTGTGTACAAATTCTTCAGTATACTCAAAGTATTCGTGTGTTGAGAGAAACAAGTTTGTAAGAATGCACATTGACTAAACACCAGTTTTTTCATTTCAATACAATTTGATAATTCTCTTTCTTTAAGAATTTATTCTTTCTTTATGCAAGTTCTTATCTTCGTCATTTACCAGTATTTTGATTTCACTTACTGTCACTTAAATTCATTTACATTTGAAATAAGTTGCTTTATCCTGAACTATGTCGAAGTGTTAATAGTTTTTATAAATTTCATTTAAGATCAATTAGCACATGTCCTAGGATTTGTATGGTCGATCATGCAAGTGAAACAAATATTTTTTTCGATTTATAAGAACAGCGGTTGTTCAGCAATTTCCACGACGAACAAATTGGCACGCCCAGTGGGACAGTGCTAAGTGATCATAAAAATCGCTTCTAAATTCTCTTCAGAAAACATTTATTAGTTCCATGGTCTGCTTTTTCTTCGAAAAAACTTCGTTGCATGTTATTAAGAAGTGGTAAGGTAGCCACCTTTAATGAAGATAGAACAAAAAGGAGATATAGGAGGAGAATGGTGACAAATTTAAACCAGCCAAATATTCCTCAGGATGTCCCGAATAACAATATAGAACAACCCATATGAGCTTCAACAGGAGAACCAACGGTCTTAGCGCCTGTCTCTGAAGCAATACCGTCTATGGGAAGTTCGATGCCCACATATTCGATTTCCCATACGTAACCTATTCTGACTTATATTGGGCCAAGGGGTCCTCCGCAGACCCCACCATCGATAGGGACTTCGACATTTAGAGGCATCCCTACGCCTGGGTTTTCAATGCCTTTGCCTCGAGACCCGCCCTATGGAACCCATAATAACTTTGCCATTACAGGGATTTGGTTATGGGGTAAATATGGGTCGAAATAGTCAAAATTTAGGTATAGGGTATTCATCCCAGATGCCAAATTTGACAACCAATTTTGCATCCTATTTGAGACAACAAATGGACGAAAGTAACCATCAAATAGTTCAAATGATGTTCAGCCCCTCATTCATAATACTACATAAACTAACCAACAACTAGCAGCACAAATGACACGCCTTGTAGAATTCTTGGGTGTACCAAATCCCCCTCGACAACCACCGAAGGAGTATCTGATAGATAACCAAGGGGTATTCTTCGATGAAGACAACACCATTAACCAAATTCCACAAAACCTGGCCCAGGCAAATCAAAACAACTTGGGAATGACCGAACGGCCTAGAGTCGAACCCCCTAGGAACCAACCACAAGTTTCTAGAGAAGAAGAACCAAGGATAGTTTTGGTAAATAGAAACCAGGATGCTGAAAATGTCGTACAACAAGTTCGACGTAACAATCTAGCAGCAGACAATAATTTAGTTGCCATGGTCGAAATAATCATGGCACATAATGGAGTAAATTTTGGCCTTCGACGGCCAAATTATACATCACTATTATCAGAGTATATCCTCCAGACAGATTTACCCCCGAGAACAAAGGTTCCTAAGTTCACTAAGTTTTTGGGGATACCACTGAGTCTAATGTCGAACACGTGGCTAGATATTTGATAGAAGCGGGAGACATTTTGAATGATGAGAATCTCAGGGTCAAGTATTTCCCAAGTTCTCTTACAAAAAACGCTTTTACTTGGTTCACAACCCTACCTCCAAATTCGATTCATAATTGGGCCCAGTTAGAATGATTATTTCATGAACAATTCTACGTGGGACAAACGAAGATTAATTTGAAGGAATTGGCTAGTATAAAACGAAAGTTTACTGAGCCAATTGATGATTATTTGAATGAATTTCGACTTCTCAAAGCAATGTGTTTCACACAAATACCAGAACACGAGTTAGTCGAAATGGCTGCTGGTGGCCTAGATTATTCCATCAGAAAAAAGTTAGATACTCGATACCTGAGGGATATGGCCCAGTTGGCCGATAGAGTTTGATAGTTAGAATGTTTGAGAGAAGAAAAAGCGAGGGTAAATAAGAATAAAAGAATAGCCTGTGTCGAATTCAATGAAGACGACGAAAGGCCTTAGAATGAGTCTATAAGTTTCGATGAGAATAAAGTAGATCTCGCTGAATTGAAAAAGGGTTCACCCTATTCTTGCAATGTTTTAGCACCTTAGAATGGGAAGAACCATACTGAATCGGATAAGAATAATAGGTTTCTTAAGAGAACTTATACATTTGATGTCACAAAGTGTGATGAAATCTTCGACTTATTAGTTAAAGATGGGAAAATGATAATACCTCCTAGTGCTAAGATACCCCCTTTAGATCAAAGAAAGAAAAGAGGATTTTGCGAATACCATAATTTTTTGGGTCATAAAACCTCTCAATGTTTTCTTTTCAGGAATCTTGTGCAAAATGCTATCCTAGAGGGAAGGCTGAAATTCGGGGAGAAGCCCAAAAACCAGATGTCGTATCGCTGCCAAGAGGTGTCGGCAATGACAG